ATTCTTGCAACTAGAGGGAGTTGGCAGAATTATTCCATTATCCATTCTGTCCAGCTGGATGTCAGGTTCACAGCAGGAGAGAGATGAGAGGGACGTGTGTGAGCACAGAGCACAGAGAACGGAATAACGCCTGTGCCAGACTGGAGAAATATTTAAAACACTGATCTTTAAATAAATTGCCAGTTTTCTCCCATTCTTTATTCTCCCATTACAGTATGTCAATTCATGCTTACGTGCTGGTATGTTCAATGTTAGTCCTCTTGTTTTAAAAATAAATGGATTTTTATCTTGTCAGGAAAGTGACATATCTCACTGGAGAAAATACAAATGAGAAGAGAAACAGAATGCCACAACCCCACCGTCCAGAGTGGAAGGCTCTGACTCTGCGCTGTCATCAGCTTCAAGTTCTTTCTGTTTGCCTTGTGTGACCACACAATAGTCAAGCAGTTTTATTATCCAGTTCTTCTGTTAATCCTGCCAGAACATTTCTTCACATTTCAAAATGTCTCCAATACATCATTCGACTTTGTATCAATGTATAGGTACAGAGTATTTGTACTGCTCAGCAGAGTCACTTAATCACTTAAGTAACTACAACTGGTCTCATTCACCTGACCCTGAAGGCTCAGCAGTGTAAGGAGAGTTTTTTCTTGGGGAGGGACCTGCATGTATATAAGTAAGCTGTCCCTCTCTATCGCTGGTAAATCTCCCCCTTGCCCCTTTCTTTTATAATACTGTGGTAAGAATCTCCATAGGTAATATCTTCATCTATAGACATTGCCTTTTCCTTAAGTGTAGAGTTTCCAGGTCAAAAGATAAGAGCCCATCTCTTTTGGCAGTTTGTCGTTATTGCCAACTAACTTTCTAGAAAGGTATTCTAAGTTTTTGGTATAAAGATTAGAAATTCACATAAACCCAAGGTCCAGCCCAGGTCTTGCAGTCTAGGGTCTGACTGGGCGTATTATCACAATAAAAATGAGCTTTAGCAGCATCTCCATCCCTCTTTGTTCTCTGGGTGGCAGTGATGTTTGCTTCATATGCCATCACTGTGCAGAGTAATGAGATAACTCACATCAATGATGAGTATTACAACGTGCTTGACATGAGAACTAACAATTTTGCACTTCTGCCAGCAGCGTATGGACCATTTATATCTCTACTTTCTCACAAAACCCTGGGCACAAATTTATGTGAAAAATCGTTAGCTTGACAAGTGAAAAAAAGTCATCATTTTAACTTCTGTGACAAAACACATCTTTCAAGTCCTTAAAAAAGTTGTGAAATATCTCAAGTTAGGGACTGGTTTTGACAAACATTTTTCACTCAACGGTTGTTCCTCATGAGTGCCAAGTAATAGAATATGCTTAAATCTCTGATAGCCAGGTAGATAAATTATTGATTTTGTCTGGAACACAGCAGGATCTATCCATGGGGTAGAATTCATGTATGTAGTGATTCTGAATCATGCTTAAAACATGTTCTCTCAACAATCGTAATGAATTGGATGTAGCCATACCCAGTTGATTTGAAATTGCCTGAATAACTTCCTGAGATGACCGGTAGAAACAAAGAAGATAAGGAAAACATTTACTAACAACTCTTTTACCCAAGTATATTTTTTGGTTTATTGTTCACACAGTTTTGGAGAATGATATTGAATATTCTGTCAAATAAGAGGATGTTTGTCCTTACTTTGAAACCAGCCATCTTTCATACAACTCCCATCATGAGATCATTTCACCAGGCCCACCAGCTGCTACTCAATCATGTCACAACATTGAGAGCTGTGGGACAGGGGAAGGAGACTGCCCTCTATGGTCCTCACACTCACTGTGTCCTGTGGCGCATGCTAGAATCTCCTACAAGTATAAAGTAAGACTGATGAGAATGTAGACCCAAGGCATCCAAGAGTGTTGCAAAGACTGCAGGATATTATGAGCATTGATCTGAAAAAAAGCTCTAGACAGCAGAGAAATCAGTAATAAGGAGGCAGTTAGAGACTGTTTTAAGGAAAGGCATCATTTGACTTTTCTTTGTAAGCTCAGAGGTGGCACATGGATTTTCAAGGCATGCCACTGTGTTTACTGTAAAAAAGGGTTAGATAGTGAAGTTGATTTCACAGCATTTTATAAGAGAGAAGGAGAAAATATTAAGAAAAAGAGCCTTGATTTTTAGAGAGGAGAGAGATCAATTTTTATGATTATTGTGACCTCATTATTGCATCTTATCAGTCATCAAATAATCTCAGAGTTGAAATGGAAGAGATTCTTTGTATTTATATCTAGCCCTTTTTTGATTCTTATATTTCCCAAGGCTGTACCCTTAAACATTGCATTATTATAACTGTGAGCTTTAGCAAATAGTGAGCCTTTAATATGGTTTCTGCTCCTTGATTCTTATTTTCACTTGTTTTGGGGTTACCCAGTGTAGCTCAGGGCTGACTCCTAACTCTGTGCTCAGGGATCACTTCTGGTGGCGCCCAGGGAACTATATGTGGTTCCAGGGGTCAAACCCAAGTTGGGCAGATACAAGTCATGTGCCTGACCTGCTGTCCTATCTCTGTGGCCTATGCTCTTTAATTCTTGTTCTGAGTAGCAGTGTGATGGCTTTACACATGGCGCTCTAATTCTGCACATAATAAGGTGTCATGCACCAAGAGCAAATATTGACATATTTATAACATACCACATTTCAAGATCATGTGTGCTACTTAAATCACTCCTAAAAGTAATATTTATTTGATAAAATAGATGTCATTTATAAAGTTATTGATAGTTAAGTTTTAGGCTTATAATATTTGAACACCAGTCCCGCCACCGTGTCAGCTTCCTTCCACCTCTGTGCCCATACTACAGCCCCCAAAACTCCCATTCCCCAAGCCAACTTGACAGGCACATTACAAAGTTCAGCAGTTGCAGTGTAGATCTTATGCTTTCAGTGTTGCTGAGTGTGTGTGTGGCATGGGGGGCGGGGTTGTTTGTTTGATTGGGTTTTATGTCACACACCCAGCAGTGTTCATCAGTTAGTCCTGACTCTGTAATCAGGAATCACTCTGGGAAAGCTCAGGGAACCATATGGGATGCCAGGGATTGAACCTAGGTGAGCCACATACAAGGCAAATTCCCTACTCTCTTGTACTATCTCTCCAGCCCCTGGTTCTTTGGTTTGGATATATGGCTGTACATCTCTCCCACGTCACCAGTATAGCCAAAATCCATGGTTCCCCCGTTACTTCCCTTTCTCATCTTCCTTCCCCCTTGAATTATTTCCTTCTCTGTCTTTCTCTTCCTTAAATTCTGAGGTCAAGGGTGATCTAGGAATCATCTGCTTTTCTACATTGCATTTGATCACTAGTTATTCTAGGAATCATCTGCTTTTCTACATTGCATTTGATCACTAGTTATTCTGTATACCACAGATAAGTGAGATCATACTATGTTTGTCTTTCTTCTTCTGGCTTACTTCAATCAACATGATATCTTTGAGTTCCAGCAGGTTGCAGAAAATTTCACGATTTTATCTTTTCTTGCAGCTGCATAGTATCCCAGTGTGCATATATACCACATCTTCATAATCCATTCATCATCCGTTGTACACCTAGATTCATTCCAAATTTTATCTTTTGTACTAAGCACAACCATGAATAATGGTGTGCATATGTCCTTCTGAGTAAATGTTTTTATGTCCTGGGGTAGATAACTAAAAGTGGAATTGCTGGGTTATATGGCAGCTCAATTCTGAATTCAGTTTAGTACTATCCATTTTAGAAAGGTTGAACCAGATAACATTCCCACCAGTACTGGGTCAGAATTCCTTTATCACCACACCTCCAACTGTGCTACTTAAATATCGACCCTTTCCACACCCTAAATTTCAAACTAGAATTAGAATCTTTAAGTTTGTTTCACTCAAGAAGGAGATCAAAAAGATAAAAGGTAATTTAATTATATTAAGCTTGGAGGCATCATGTGTAAAAATCAAGTTAAATTGTTAGACAGTAAACTTGCAGAGTAGATGATGAGGATAATAGTATTTTAGGATTAAAATAATTTGTCTCAGTGTTAGGAGATGCAAATTATTTTATTCTTTTTCCACTTACTAACATGACTTTGGGTTCTTTTCCTTTTAAGATGTCCTTTTTGTTTATAAAAAAGGAACTATATTCTATCCTATTTGACACTCCATATGTGAAAACACTTGATAAACTGCAATACTGTTTAACAATTTACAGTTATTTATGTATCTTTGAAGTCAACATATTTAAATTTGTTATTTTGTCTTCAAATACAACAAGTATCATCTTTATGTCCTTCTCCATAATTTTAATATTTAAATTTAAGGTTTGGGGAGGCTTTGGGTTCACTGTATCTTTCATTCAGGTAGGATTCTGAGTTCTTTTTTATTTTTGAATTTGTCATATCAATTCTAAAGAATAAGACTCGATAACCCTTAAAAGGCCAAGATTCAAAGAAATTGCAAGAGTAAATTCAAATTATGTCTTCAGAAAGCCGTGAGATTAGTTTCATCAAATTGGTTGTTCTTGTTTTTCTATTAGATCTATTGATAACCTGGCAGCTCTTTGAATAGTCGACTGTCTTTCCAACATGACAATGACTAAGCTCATGTGGATATTTTTAATCTATGACAATCAAAAGTAAGTCCAATAAAAATTCAGTTCCTCAGCTACATGAGATGATTCCCAGTATTCAATAATCAGATAAGGACAGTGGTTACTTCACTGGACAGGGCAGATGATAAAACATTTCCATCAGTGCAAAAACTCTGTTGGACAGTTCTGCTCTAGAAGAAATAAAATCTGCTGTTACATTGTCTAGAGGTATTCTGCTTAGATTTTATGTATATTTTTAATTACATGTTTGAATTTATAATCTAGAATATTAACCTGTAGTGGAAAGTCAGGTTCTTCCTCCACGCATACATCCTTTACGGCATCGCTTTAGGGTACTGATCATTTGCTATTTTTCTTTTGGCTCTCTTAGGTCTTGTGTGACAGACATGTGCGAATGTCCAGTCCATAAAAACTGCTACTGCGAGTCATTCCTGGCATATACCCGGGCCTGCCAGAGAGAGGGCATCAGTGTCCATTGGGAGCCCCAGCAGAACTGTGCAGGTGAGAAATTCCTGTTGATCCATCCAGTACAAGCCCATTATAGCTTCCAAAACAGTGATGGAAGATATCTGAATGGCCACATGACACCCACACCCCTCAGCTCCAGGAAAATCCCAGCAGTGACCCAATAGCATCACAACACTGGGATTCCCCAAGAATCAGGGTAGGAGAAACACTGAGAAATGCTTTGTAACAAGCACATTTGAACAATTTCAGGGTTTCCACTGTTGCAAAATCCGTACAACCTCAAACTACCAGCTGGATGTACTTAGCTTATGCACCGTCACAGCTGTGGCTTAGGTTATGCATGGAACAACAGAGATTCAAGACAAGTGCAGTCATTTAAGGTCTTTGGGATAAGCCTGATGTTTTGGGAAGAAATTGTTATACAATCCTTAACAGAAAGTTTCTTATGCTATTTTTCTTCACACAGATTTCTGTAATATAGCTTATAGGTCTTAGGGAAGTTAATCCACTTATTTAATATTTGTAACATGGGCATCTTTAGTAATCAAGCAAAGTTTCTCCCCAATAGCTAAGTACCAGGCTCGTTCTTATCATTGTGAGTACTTTGGTGGCTGTGAGAGGTGAGCCCCTGTCATTAGGATGTGGACAGTCCAATGAAGGAAGTGGACAGACAGAAATTATAGCGTGTGGTAAGGGAAAGCAGTAGGGCAGAGCCATCTAACTCAAAGGAGAGGGAGTGGTATCACCCAGATGGGAAGTAGAGTGAAGTCTTCACAATAGAGGTGATAATCTCAACAAAGTGAGACCCAAAGCATTGAAGAGAGTTAAGACAAGCAGACAGTGCAGTAAAAAACACATTTGATGTCCATAAAACAGTGAAAAGAACACACTCTTGAATTAGAGACACAGTGTGATTTGAAAAGTGAATAAGAGAAATGGGTATAAGATGCCGGTCAAGTAACAGTGGGAACCAGATGGTACAGGTCTTTTATTTCAAGACTAGTGGAAGTCACTCATGGATTTTAATCAAGTCCTTCTCTGCTTCTCAAATATCTCTCTGGTGACTGCATATGAAGCATACAGAGTGGGGCAAAACTGAAAGCAGATAACCAAGCAGGAGATAGTTGCAGTAAATATAGTGAAAAATTATGATGGATTAAGTTAAGACAGCGATCAATTGAAAGGAGTCAAAGTCTTGATATATTTTGAAAATTACAATAATATATACAATGCATTTATATGCATTGGTGATGAGCCTGTGCAAGATCTTGAAGAGTGTCAATCTCAGAGAAAATACTCAGCTGTTCATAGTAGCTGCCACTGTTATTATTTAAACTCTAAGATGAGAAGAATGAATATCTGTCATCTACGTAAAGGAATAACATACTTCCCCCCCCCCCCCCCCGTAAAGTGCCTTATTTGCCTGAAATGGATAAACTGAAATTTGCAAAATTTTTTGTTTGGGGAGAGCAGTTGGAGAGCGAGGGATACTCCAAAATTGGCGTACAAGATGCTGTGGCAGTGCTCTGGATTTACAGCCAATTGTGTATAGAGTGCCATGTTTTTCTACATATTGGATTCAAGTAGATTATATCCAAGGCATGTGCCTTAAAGATCTGTTATGTCTCTCTAGTCCTCCATTGTGAGTCTTAATAAATGTCACTCTGATATATATGTATATATATAATATATGAAAGGAAGGCCATGATATTGGTGGAGACCAGGAGATTTTCTACAATTTATAAAGTTGGAAGGATGATTTCAAGAGAATGACTGTGAAGCTGAGTTTACAATGTGTAGATATTGTGTTTGTTTACTTAATGTAGTGAAATACAACTGGCTAGATATTAGTATTACTCTGGCAATTAAAAAATTAAACCAGGGAACTGTGTCTGGGCCCCATATCTGTGAATCTTTTGGTGTGTGTGTGTGTGTGTGTGTGAGTGTGTGTGTGTGTGTGTGTGTGTGTGTGTGTGTCTTTGGAGAGCACATCAAGCAATGTTCAGAACTTACTCCTGGTTCTGTGCTCATGGATCACTCCTGGTGGTGCTCAGGGGACAGATCATTCCCAGTGGTGCTCAGAGGACCATATGGGATGTCAGGAATCAAATTCCAGTTAGCCACATGCAAAGCAAGCACCATAACTGTTGCAAATCTTTTGAATCGTAACAGGTGATTCTGACCTGCAGTCAGATTTGAAACCTTTGCCTTAACTGGTGTGTTTATTTTGCTGACTTTGCGGAAGCAGTCTGACAGAAATGTGGAAGATGCTAAAATATCTTCCAGCTGACTGTTGAAATAGTTACCTGTGTCCACAAGAATTACCAAAGTCCCTTTACCCCAACTTCTCCTTTGCGTTCACACTCCGTTGCAAACCCAAGTTCAGACTTTATGTGTGAAATCACTTGGTATAGCTTATCTATCAGTGCTTTCTGACCAGAAGAGGACTGATTTAGTAAAAATAACTCACACGGTGAGTTATTCACTCTGCTCCCAAATGGTGAGAATTAATGGCTTACTTGAAACATCAGTGCTAGGTTACAAAATAAGGATAGTAATGCTGAGGGCCTGAATCCTTACAGCACATACCTTTATGTCCCTTTCTGAAGTTGGATTCACTCCCTTTCTCTAGTTGCATTTCTGGGTTCACGGGAAGAATATATAAAGAAAAGTTCCATTCATCTACACAGATGTCCTATAGAGTACAGCACAACTTCATTGATTTTATTCGTGTATTAGTGCTTTGGTTAGAATCATCTTAGATATAGAATACATGCACCGTCTTCTGGCCCAGAATTGTACTTAGCTCTGCTACAGTTGATGTATTGCATTTGTAGTGCAGACTGTGAAGACTATACATTTTACTCTTACCTTGATTTCAGGTACTGGATCTCAGGAGCTAAAATTACTTTTCTAATGGAAAAGTAATATGGCTCCTGAAAGGTTCCATTTACCACTTAAAATTAGTTGATCCATCTGAGTGAAGAATAACCCTGGCATTGTGCTGCTGCAGGGGACTTTTACACACATCATACACACACACATGCATACATACACACATGCATGCACATGAACACATACATTCATTTATGCATGTGTGCATATGCACACATACACTAACATCCACAGATTGATAATTGGCACATGAGAAATAAATTTACAGATACCTGAAGCATCTCTCAGTAGATTCATTTCCAATTCATGTGTAATAACGAAGAATTTAAAGATGCTTTTCACTTGATTTTAGCTCCAGATCTTTTGAAGTATGATAGTACTTAAAGTCATAATACAGAGAAGAGGAATTTTCCAGCTAAAAGCTTTGGAGTTGAACAAATAAGAAGTTACCCAGGCAAGAAACTCTGAGAGAACAAGGGACATTTTGAATCTAGCCTAAATTTTAGCACTGTCGTCACTGCCATCACACACTATATGCTCACTCACTGTTCTAAGACAGAAAATGGAATTCTGATTTAGCACATGAGTCATTAGGTAAAATGCTATATGCGAATGGTGTGTGTATGATATGTGTATGGTGTATGTGGTATGTGAGAAGTGTATATTGTGTGTATCACAGTGATATTTGTATGTTGTATATGCATATTTGTGATGTGTGCAGTGTGCAGGGGTGTGATATGTACCTATGATATGTGTGTGCTATTTGTATGTGTACATGATATGTGTGATGTGTGTCTATGTATTTTTGTCTTCTGGCAGCACATCAAATGGTTTGCTGGGTTTTGTGGTCAGTGTCTACCTTGTTTTTCTTGCAAACTTAGCTTCTCTGCAGCACCTCTGCCCTGGTCACACACATTGAGCTTTTTCTTCATGGACTGGGTGCCTCCTATATAATTTTAGGCATTAGGCTAGAGATCTAGTATAGAAATTGAGGCATTTGCCCTGCAACAGCCAACCTGAATTTGATCCCCAGCACCTCACTGGGTTCCCTGAGTCCTCCCAGGAGTGATCCCTTGAGCACAGAGTCAGGAGTAAGCCCTAAATACAGCAAGGTATCGCCCCAGACAAAAAGTGAAATTTGAAAAGCTTAAGTCATTTTTGTGAGCTTCCTTGCACATCCTGTTATGAGGACAGGGAAGCTGAGTTCCACAGGGCAAACAGCCACACACACAGGGCTGTTGCTTTGCATATTACTATCTAAAGTGGTTGTGATGGCATTTGTATGCACCCAGGAAATGTAGCCTTTGTGCCTTCTTGAGAATAGATGAGTGACTAACTCCAACCATTTTGGGAGTTATATATATATATTTTACTCGAGCGGTGCCAGTAATGTCTCCATTCATCCCTGTTGCGTGCTAGCATAGCCCAATGGCATCTGCTCGTTCTAGGAACATGCAGAGCCTCAAACCAATCATTCAGGGTCTTGACCATCTTGTAGGTGAGCGTCCATGCGATCTTTTGACGTCCCGTGGAATCCAGTCAGTAATGGCTCTAGTCCAGCGGTCATCTCTAAACCTCATTACGTGTCCAGCCCATCTGATTTTTGATGCCTTGGCAAATGAGACAGCGACCCTGATTCTTGAGCGTTGACGGAGATTGGAACTCAGGATTCTATCTCTCATTTGAGTGAAGCGTGATACTCCAAGCATAGCTCTTTCAATTCCTCTTTGATATATATATATATATATATATATATATATATATTTATATATATACAAATTTGATATATATACATATATATGAACCAAATGAATCTTTTTTAAATGTATCAGAGAAAATTGAATCACATACATGTTTAAGAAATCAACATTATAAATTTAAAAAAATCATCACATTCATGGAAGGGTAGAACAGAATCCACATCAGTATACTCTTACTAGGATCCTCCCAACACTGTGACAATTTGAGGGCAAACCTGAACCTGTCACCCCCAGTTACAAAATCCCCTGCCTTTGTCTCCTTCATTCTTTCTCCTGAAACTCTGGATTTCTGCACAACCTTTCCCCCCAAGCCCTGCCCTCACTGAACCACAGCAGCCATTGCCACATGCATGCCTTTGCTTTCTAAAATTTTTTAAC